CTCAATGTTGAAGATAATTAAATTATTACTTTAACAATAATTAAACAAATATTCGGGAGAACATCAAGTTTGTTTGGGCAAAGTATAGATAGACAAAGATTTCCAAAGTGTTAAAAGAACTAGTGTCTAATGATCTATTAATTGCTTAGGAAAATTTACATAAAGTTTGGATTGGATGCCTCTAAGGTTTTAGTTACAATGACAGACAAGGTAACTAACTTCGTAAAAGTTATGTATAATTAATGACGAATATTAATGAAGAAACAATGGAAATGTGACAGAGACAATTCAGACTGAGAGGTAGTACACATACATTTTTTATTTACTAACAGCGAAACAGGACTTTCCTTGCCAAATTTTCTCGGTGACTAACTGGTACACTTTATGTGTCTCACATAATTTTATTTTCCGAGCGTAAGCTAAGGATCTCCCGTTTCCGTTTGTCTGTTTGTCTGTCTGTGTCGATTTTTATTAGGGACGTAATCTCCGAAACCACTGTACCGATTGTTATCAAATTATGTATGTGTATTAGGAATATCATGTAGCTCGCTAAACACTAACCAAAATTTGGCTAATCATCCCCACCAACAACTGATGAGGTCATCTCAAAGAATTCTATTTTGAAATGATTTAAATATTGTACAACAATATACTCCTAAGCTTGTGATGTCTGAATCCGCTATGAATTTTTTCCCTTAACGTCAAAATTTTCGCAAAAAAATTAACATAGTATAATAGCATTTTACCAATAGGTGAGAATATGTATTTGCTTTTGGTGATTATAGAAAGAGGCAGGAATGTTTGACGAAATGGAACCAAAAAAAAGAGTGCATCAATCCAGGGACGCACTGATGGAGTTTTCAATTTATCTAAATTAAACACGTATACGAAGTAATTAATTTTCTCTTAAAAAATAATAAAAACCAAAAATATGTTGCATTTGTATTTTTTGACAAAATGATGATTGGATTAATTAAACTAAAAAAAAAATTACCAACTAAAATAACAAGTAAATATTTACTAATGCTAGAGCAGTATTTATTCGATTTAAAATACAAAAAAACAAAAAAAAAATTACTCTTGTGGTATCCTCCCTTGTTCGAGGCCCCACGTTAGGGCGCCAGATTTGTGGTAACTCAGCGGTTTATTAATAATAAGAACAATACAAATCAAAAATAGGGTATGGGTTCTCGAAGTGGCGGCAATTCTCGTCGGGGATGACGGCGGCGATGTATGTAGCATAGGTGCGACCCTGGAGATGACGACGTCGGCGATGCGGCACAGGGGACCTGGAGAGTGCGCCCCTGTAGATGACGACGTCGGCGACGCGGCACAGGAGACCTAGAGAGTGCGACCCTGGAGATGACGACGTCGGCGATGCGGCACAGGGGACCTGGACAGTGCGACCCTGGAGATGACGTCGTTGAAGCGACACAGGGGACCGTAAAACAGTGCAGCCCTGGAGATGACGTCGAAGCAGCGCAGGGGACCGTAAAACAGTGCAGCCCTGGAGATGACGTCGAAGCAGCACAGGGGACCGTAAAACAGTGCAGCCCTGGTGATGATATCGAAGCGGCGCAGGGGACCGTAACACAGTGCAGCCCTGGTGACAACCAGAAGGGGACTTAGACAGTGCAGCCCTTAAGGTGGAGATGGTGGCGTTCCATCTGTGCGGTGCTCACCAGAAGGGGACCGAGACAGTGCAGCCCTTAAGGTGAAGATGGAGGAGTTCTATCTGCCTGAAAAGTGGTCACGGTGGCCCTTTTATAGGCAGGGTTGAGATGCGTGGGAGTACCTGGACAATGAAGTAGCTTCAGGTGGGGTGCGTTCCAGTGGGGGGTGAGCTTGGTGGGGTAGATACCGGCGCTGCCGAGGACAGCGCCCTCGAGAGGGTACTAGCGGAGCGCTTTGAAAACTCCGCTACACTCTTAAATAATAGCGTTATCGCCTTCGGTATCTTTATCCCTATCATTGAATACAGCTATTAGTAGCCTATGGTATCTAAAATGAGTGATATAAAGATCAGTTCTTAAATGGGTAATAGAGCGTTTGAAAACAGCATCAATTGTTGTACCTAATTTAGTCGTTCGAACAGTCAAACCACTAACTATGTCCAACATCAGTGTCTCTTTGAAAAATTGTAGTAATTAAAGACCCTTTATACCTAATTTAGTCGTTGAAACAGTCAAACTCAGAGATAATAGAGATACGACAGCTGGCAAAATTAAGCGCCAATAGTCCGTATGTACTCCGTCCCAGTCACATTCGGGCGCGCTATTTAAATTTATATGAAATACCTGGTTCTTCATAAATGGAAAAATACCAGATTAAGATATAACAATCAATACGTTTATTCGAAAAATTATTATTATTATTATTAGAAAAAATGGAGCAGGGGTCAGAGACTTATTATGCTCCTTCAAATAGATTTCCCTAAGTAGAGTTACTGATCCAGTTTGTTCTTAAACATATTAATAGTTGTCACATTTACAATTTCACTATGAAAATTATTCCATTCATCAAACACCCTGTTAGGAAAGAAAAACCTTCGAACAATAGTTCTAAATGATTGCTTTTTTAATTTGTAAACGTGCCCTCGCAATTGGTTAGCACTCAATTCAAAAAGGGTTTTGAGGTGGCACATATTTGGATTGTGAAAAATCTTGTAAACCAATATCAAGTCTCCCCTCTTCCGTAGTTGTTCCAATGACGATCTTAATCGGGTTTGATAATTTTGTGTTCTACAGCCCAATACCTTTTTTGTAGCCCTTCTTTGAACTTTTTCCAGCAATTCCTTATCCCGCTGTAAAATTGGTGACCACACAACATTGGTATATTCCAAAATTGGCCGTATATACGACTTAAACAATTTCAGAAATGTATCTCGTGAAGGGTGTCTAAATGCATTGAATAACATATAGGATGCAGAATTTGTTCTTCGTGCAACGTAAGCCACTTGATTGGACCAAGATAGATCAGATGTTATTATAACACCTAAATCATTTTGACTATCCACCATCTTTACTGCCTCATTATCTATCATGTAAATGTGTTTGGGGTTGTTGGTACCCAAGTGCAAGACTTTACACTTGCCGTTATTCAACGGAATCAACCAGTCTAAGCACCAACGGTAGACAGTATTTAAATCCGTTTGCAGTTCTCGATAATTTAGAATAGGATTAGCATACAGTTTACAGTCATCAGCATAGAAAACATGATTTGACGAAATTAAATGAAGTAAATCCGATATGTAGAGGATGAAAAGCAGTGGTCCCAATACAGAACCCTGCGGGACACCAGACACAACCACTCGTTCAGAGGATACCGAACGCCCACTCTGACGTAAAACTTACGACCATGAAGAAATGATCTGATCCATTTCAATAGTGGGCCTCCAATCCCAAAATTATCTAATTCAGTAATTAAACGAAGATGCGGTACCCGATCAAAGGCTTTTTCAAAGTCCAGGTAGATCACGTCAACAGGATTCTTGTTATCGATTTGTGAACCCCAATCATCTAAACATTTTAACAAACATGAAGTGACTGACCGACCTGGAACAAAAGCGTGCTGAGTATTCGGAATTAAATTGTGATCAAGGGCCCACCCTCTTAGTTGCTTACAAATCATTCTCTCCAGAATTTTGCAACACACAGATGTGAGACTTATGGGACGATAGTTCGAAGCTAATGTTTCGTCCCCTGTCTTAAAAATAGCTGTAACAGACGCTTTAAGCCAATCCGATGCTAAACGCGAATCGATTAATGACCTTTCCATTATCTGAAGCAACGGTTTTACAATCTCATAGGCACAACTCTTTAACACATTACAAGTAATGTTGTCAGGACCCGACTATCAATTTTTAAAGCTGATAACTCATTTAGTAAATTTTCCTCTGTTAAGATCACATTTTCGAGACACTCCGTGAGACGAGGTGTATTAATTATAGGTAGTACACCTGGTGGTTCAGTAACGTAGACACTTTCAAAGTAATCAGCTAACATGTTCGCAGTTTCCAAATTACTTTCGCTTAAAGATCCGTCACGTCTCCGGATTAGCGGCATTAATACTTTACTCGACATTTTCTGTCGTGCATATTGTATTATCTCTAACATTTTTTTGTACTTTTGTAATGTTTAAAACCTGATTAATAGTAAACTATAAAGTGTCCTAATGTTCTTATCATTACGTGTCATGTAACAACTGAATATATGGCTGTAATTATTATGCTATTGATTTAGCAACATTTTTATGTGATATTGAAGATATCTCCAATTTAAGTGAGAGGTACAACATCGTTACCATAATTAATAATTCCCAACGACGAAATAGATGGGATAGAGTACAGATAGTTCGATTTAGCTGAACAAAATATCTTACGATAAATATGCCGATATTCAGTGGGTACAGGCTGAATATGAAAAGGCATGTGGCGAAAATTCTAGAAACTATATTATTGTCATTTCCAAGCCCACAATTCTGAAACTTTACCTTATGGCAATCTTAATCTTCCATATGAACAGTTTGCAGATTACACTGAACAACCTTTTGTCATTATTTGTGCAATTAAGTATATTTTACAAATTCCATAATAGGGAACTACAGAAATGTTCAGACTCGGTTCAGACCGGTCTTGGTGACCTCGACACCGACACCGACATCAAGCTCGTAGCTGGAACTTGACATTCCTATCCCGGCGCTTATACGTGTTCTATATTACGACAAGAAAGGAGTTAAAGCTCCAATAATAATTCTGGAAGTCGAAATCAACAATGAAAAAGAAATGTTAAAACTTAACTAATGTCAAAGTGACATTGCCAAAGTCAAAGCAATCATGATTAAGCATTTCATTTTAGATTCAGATAGTATCAAGTAATATAAAGTATTTTGGGTTGCGAAGAAATAATTTTTAGAAGTAATTACCTAAGTAATAGCAATTTTATTCACAAATATACACAACAAATTAAATTTACACAAGATATACATTTATAATACACTTTCAACTATATCCCTCGACATCCGCAACGTTTTGTTCTTCCTCCAAAACTTCCGTCGCAGCTTTTCCAAGAAGTCCTTCATGCTCAGGAATTTCCGCGAGCACTTGAAAAGGACATGTCCAGCCACGATGTCACAGCAGGCCGCCTTTTCAACCCCCTTGACTCGGTACACCTTCCGTAAATTCCTGGGCTCCCGGTGGTTTTCCATAAATCTTCGGTACTCTTTGCAACACGCGCAATTCGGGCCACATCGCGCCGAAATCCTGACCATGCATCGGCAGGGCATGGGTGTGGAGGTTCTTGGTAGGTCCATGGCGGAGAACTATCTGAAAAGAAGACAAAATTTTGATTATAACACAACAATGATAATGGTCAAAAAAGGTATACTTACAGTTTTATGGTGATGAAAGAGTCTGGTATGTTAACCTTCTGACGTCAACATTAAAACTAAAGATCGTGGGTTTGTTTCGCGCTTATATGCATGTCATAGCACCCCTACCCTATTCACCCCACCTCGTCGCCCTTTTTTCTCCCCACCTTTTTCCGGGGCGGCGGGATGCCACAGCTTCCACAGTTTAGGTAAGTTCTGAAATTGGGAATAAATAATAGTTTCTTTTTTTGTAATTTTTGAAAATTCCAGGAAAAGGTAAAAAATTTCATTTATTTGAAAATTTTTATTTTCGGTGAAGTTGCATACAAATTTTCAAAAAATTCTGGGATTTGGGTTTCAACGTTTCGGTTTGGAAGGTTTTAATAAGTTGTGCCGGGACACGTTTTTACGGGTTTTTAATTGGGAGAACTTAATTTATGGGATGGGTTTGAGGGATTTGCAGTTTTAAAGATTCATTAAGTTTTTATGGTGATTGTAATCGTGGAGGAAAAGTCTGTGGACAGCTGAGTTACTGAGGAGTATTGTTAGATCGGCAGTTCATAAGGATTTCTTTTGTAAATTCGCAATGTGGTTTTTCAAGTGACCAAAAAGTTAGATTTCTATTTAGTATATACAGGGTGACTGCGAAATATGTGCAAATATTTTAACCACGGCATCCCCCACGCTAGTAGAGCCGAAATATAGAAAAAATAAATTAAAAATCGAATGGGGCAAAACCCCCATGAACCACCCTCGATACGAAGGCACTGAGCCACCTTGTAAACAGAGTTGGAAAACCGTTCGAATAAAAACGACCTAAACACTTTCAGTTTCAATTAAAAGTAAAACCGACTTTTTGCTGCTTATCATTCGTTCATTCATTTACTCATTCATCGTTAAAGGTTAGTGTGAAAGTTTTTTGGTAATTTTGATTCTGACGGATGTCCTTGTCACAACGATTTTACATTGTTTATTGGAACAGAAATAAGAGCAACTTAGAGTGCTACTACCTTTTTACAAGAAATGTTGACTAGCAATTCAAGCGTCAGAGCGTCGCAAGAGGTTTGTTGATAGGTAAAAAAACACCGGAGTAGCGGCTGCCACTTTCACTTGTTGAAGCTCTTCGATTATTTCTGGACACTGTTGATTTCCACAAACGAATTGTTTCATCCAACCAATACACGCTTCTCGAAAACCGCCTCCTGAAATCGTACTTGTTGTCGACTATGTGGAGTTCCATCGGACAAAAAGTGAGTTACACAACGTGGACAATCAGCAGGCTCCAAACCATGCACTTTGTCAACATGGTATGGTTGTGACCGTGTACTTTTAATGTAGAATGCACTACAAGCTGCGAAAATCCAATTTCTTCTTTCTGTCCCATCACCACCACGATCGTGAGTTTGAGGTTGAAGGTACCATGATCTCGGAGATGCTGTACCACTGACGTAAATGTTCGCGCACATGGAATCGCGCGATTTGGAAAGCGTTCGATCCACAATTCGCGGGCCAAGCTTGAGTTCCCATCCGCCACCCCATACAGCATTACCATGTCGGCACGGTCTGAATTTGTAAAATTCACCATTGTCAAACACAACCGAACACACCCAGCTACGGCAAATAACTGATACACTACTGTACTTATCGTCTTTTTGCACTAGTTTTTTGGTTCTTAAACTTCGTCGCTGTGTGCCATTCATTGTAGTAATGATGTAAGTCAAGAAACACTACCAGCGGCGTGTGTGACAATTTATATGTAATTTCAATTAATTTTTTCTCGATACTGCTACCACTTAGGACCGTGAATTTTATACAGTGACATACTCGTATCGTGAGCTATTCCCCATTTTTTTTGCACATATTTCGCAGTCAGGCTGTATAGCTGGTTTACCGAACATATAAAGTCATCGTTGTGGCAAAGACCAAACATCCGTCGGATCAAAGGTCGATCATCATGAAGTATTACCAAAAAAACTTTCGCACTGACCTTTAACGATGAATGAATCCAGAATGAATGATAACACTAGTTTACAAGGTTTTATATCCAAAGACAAAAATAGTTGAATCCAAAGGATTTGGGTTCGGGAAATTCAAATCTGAAAGCAGAAAAAATCCATCACGTCAGGTTTTTGAGATATTTATATACACATACCCCGTATTACTTTTCTTTTATACAACTTTTTTATTTTTAAATACATATGAACATATAGTTCTTTGAGCAAATTTGTATCATTTTAAAAGATCATTTACATTAATAAATAACATGAGTGTCAATTTTTCAAGCTACTAGATTGTCATCAATATTTTATTTAAAATTTTTCAAGTATTGATTTTAGAATAATTGGTTGCTCTTGATTTTTCTACGGGAAGTGATAATAAAAATGTGAGGTTGGCCTCACAAAGATCTTTTAAAATGATACAAATTTGCTCAAAGGAATACAGGTTTATCTTTAAGAATAAAGAAGTTACAAGGGTTGTATCAAATAAAAGCAACACCCAGTATATATTATAAACATTATGACTGAAAATTAAAAATGATTAACACTAGCGTTTCTTTTATTGACAGTACTGCCAATTTCCCTTATAATAAACCAACAGTAACACATTTTCGTCCCAAATCCTTGATACCTTCTTTTTAAGCATATTTGAACAGGTCTTCCCGCTTTAGGTACTATAATTTTACCACAAACGTAACAAAACTGATTTGCACTTACTTTGCACGATCTCGAAGACATTTTTTATGCGACAATGATGCAGTAACATGAATCAGTTTAACCTAACGTGAAGGTAAAAGCAAAGTTCATTATTTTGGATTTATGAAAAAACCTGACGTGATAAGGATTATCCGTTTTTGGATTTGTTATCAGTAAGTAATTTAGAAGTAAAAAATATTTTTTTTATTTTTGGATATGAAAAAAAGTTTAAATTTGTGAACTAGTGTAATTAGCAAAAAGACGGTTTTACTTTTAATTCAAACTGAAAGTGTTTACTTTCTTTTTATTCGAACATTTTTCCAACTCTATTTACAAGGTTCAGTGCCTTCGTATCGAGGGTAGTTCATGGGGGTTTTGCCCTATTCGATTTTTAATTAATTTTTTCTATATTTCAACACTACTAGGAGGGGGGATGTCGTGGTTAAAATTATTGCATATATTTCGCAGTCACCCTGTACAACCGTCCGTAGAGTAGCGGCGAAGGGATCATCATTTGTGCTATTGTTTGTGTTGATGACGTCATCACAATTTTTTTTATTCATCAAATTAAGAACGGGTCAGCCCATTTTCTCAAAAATTGGAAAATACGCACGTCTTTATTTAATACTGACAAAATAGGAATTATAATATTCAGAACATTTTGTTCTATTGTGGCTTAATTAATAATTTTCGTCCTCTGTTTCGAGGAGGCAAACTCATTCAAATCAAACTAATTTCTACGTAACATTCTCCGATATATGAACATAAACGCTTGAACTGAAGCTTGTTATTAGTGCTGAGAGGATATTTTTTCCCGTTGATTATCTGCTTTAAATACATTTTACAATGTCCGTACGTGGGAGCGCAAATTCCTAGCGCAGAGGCCGCGGGGTATTTTTGTGCCGCCAGTTTTTACTTTGTAGACATTATAACAAAAACGAAAATCGCAAAAGCAAATTTTATAATTTTTTAAAGAAGCGGGATTTGTCGGATTATACTTCAAGAGCAAAGGAAGTTTTGTCAAAATAACTTTCGACCAATTTTTAGATAATATTATGTCACTTTATGAATCATTAAATCTTGAAAACCTTTTTCTAAAATCTAAAATTTTTTACTCTGTTACTGTAGAAGCAATAATTTGGCGAATACCAATAATATCTTATAAATAAACCCAAGCAGAGGACGATTCATCCTTAATTTAGTTCGAAAAATAAAAATCAAAGACGATAATATCGCACTGTGAGAGAAATACTCACGTAACTCAAAACCAGCGTGTTTGGAGTAATGATGATTTAAAATTCCCAAGTTTTTATATATTATTTGTATCTTAAATACCAAAGGCTTCGAAATACGTTATAGTCGTATTGTCAATCTATTATTAATCGTGTTTTTATTCCTTTAGCGTAGAACCTTCTACTCGTTATAGAAAACAAGAAATTTTGACTTACGTGACTATTGCACTGCTACACCATATCAAATATTTTGGCTTGCGTGTTAATAAATTTAAGACAAAAGCAAACTAGCAACACATTGTAATATGAAAAAAATATAACAAAACACAAGACGATCACAGTATTCATTCATTCAACATCTACACTGACCGGCAAAAAAACCGACCACCCTGAAAAATTTCACAAAACCACTTTAAAACTTAATTTAACTAGTGATCGTTATTTTATTAAAGAATCATTCACTATTGACACATGATGTGCAAATTAGCACAAAAAAGAAGACAATTAAATGCAGAATTAAATTTAATTTAACAAAATAACAGAAACAGACCAAGTACCTACGATATTTTCTTAAAAAAAAAAAAAAACAATAAAGGAGGCTGTTGTTGTAAACAGTGTTTTTCATCATTTGATTATAAGTTTGGCAATTAATAAACGTTTTCACGCGAAAGTAATTCCGTTAACTCTTACAGACGTCTTTCAAAGTGCCGCTCTGTTTCTGTTATTTTGTTAAATTTAATTTAATTCTGCGTCTAATTGGCTCCTTTTTTTTGCTAATTTATACCTTATATGTCAATAATGAATGGTTCTTTCATAAAATAACGATCACTAGTTAAATTAATAATTTTTAAAGCTTCGTTTTGCGAAAATTTTCAGGGTGGCCGTTTTTTTTTCGCCGATCAGTGTAGATGTTGAATGAATGAATACTGCGATCGTTTTGTGTTTTGTTATATTTTTTGGGTAAATTGTTATAAAGTGTGTTATAATTTTATTTAATTCGTTTTTTTATACATAATTGATTCAGTCCATGGTATTTTTTTACGTATTGCTAAATGACCTTCATAAATATTGTTTAATCATTTTCATTTAAGTCTGATGCCGCCGTTGTCGTGATGTTCGGGAATTGATTGACTATTATTTCCTGATATACCTACTTCGTTTCTATATGAAGTTCCATCGGAATTTTTGACAAATTTGAATTTTTTTCCTACCTACCTTTCCTATTCAAAGAAAAATTGATTTCCATGTTTTCGGTCAATTCTTAACTATATCAGAAGACATTGTGCATTTG